TGTTTATTTATTTGTGTACTTGCGCCTGAGTGAAGATGGATATCAGTGAATTTATAATAGAGAAGATGGACATAAGTGAAATTATAATAGAGAACGTAAAGAATTATGTGTTCTTGTATAATTCATTGTAGTCAACAAATGAGCAAAAAGTAAACAACTTCATCAGCTGTTTTATAATTTCGTCGGTATTGTGTTCCATACGACGAATTTTCGCGGCTCATTTTGTCGCCGCGTAGGGCGAAATTCGTCGTTCGCTCCAATTGTGTTCCTAGCATAAGGTGGAGGGTATTAAAAGTTCGGCCCAGGCGAACTTGATGTTTTTTTACTTGTTCTACATAACATTTTGAGATATAAACTATTTTGGTTCTATCCATGCAATTTTTTAAAATCACAAAAATGAATTGACAGAAACGTCATTTTTCATGTCTCCTAGAAAATATATTAAATTAATTTATTTGATTCTGCTTCGCTTTAAATCTTCTAGTGTATTAATTAAATATTTTAACCCACATCTTTCAATAAAGCCTCATCTCATTATTTATAAATCGTATAATAAAAGTCATTAACAGTGATTTATGTTGATGGAAAGCACGATGCCCCAGTCACTTCATTATACACAATGTACGGAGAATACCTTGATTTGTTCTTGTTTTTTCTATAAATGTACTACATACAAATATACATGTGGTTATTTGTTTTTGTTTGATTCAAAGTTATCGCTAAAATTTCTCAATGCCAACACCGCAACCACCATCACCGCCACCATCGACAACAACTAAACAAATCAGCCATGCCAACAACAGCAGTCAAACAATCACATATCAATGTTTTCGTTTTCATTTGACCTAAACCTAAATTTAATTCTAACACGCGATTAAAGTTGCACCATCAAGCGTACCAGCCGTCCAACCATCCATCCATCCCATCTCTCACTCCGTTGGCGTTTTAAGCTATTCATGTGTGGATAATACCCCACCCTGTTTCAAAATCCTTGACTTGTATTCAAGTGAAAATAACATTCGGTCAAAGCTAAATGCAGATGGGATGAGCTAACCTGCTGGTGTTGTAGTTGTTTACTCGGAACTCGAACCGCTGGATTAAACAAAAAAACTGTTTGCTGTTGTATTTGGTTTTGTCGAACTGAAGTGTGCTTCGATTGCACAAGAGAATGTTGAGCGTTATCCTTTTCGTGTTTATATAACACTATTATTGGCTGCCCTGCACTTCTTTACTTCACTTCGCCATTTGACCTGACTTTTATTTCAAGAACCGCCCGACGCCAGTACCACCTCGACCACCATACATTTCTTTATTAGCCTCATGACTCAGAGAATGTGGTTGGAGTGCACACGTTTGTGTGTACGTACGAGTATGTTTGTATATGCATGAGTAAATAAGTTTCATTACATTCCGTGAATCGAAAGTGAGCACCATGAAAATACATTAAATTTAATAAGAAAATTACTTTAATAAAGAAATGTTTGTATGGTACACATACGAGTAAATGTGTGTAGGTGGCAAATAATGTAATTAAATTTTGTATGCATATTTTAATAATTTCACATGAACTTGGTAGGGGCTAGAGCTCAACTTGCGTACGTATCATAAGTTGAAAAATGTATGTATTTTTCCATTTTCAAACTTATTGTGCATTTATACAGAAGCCTACGCCACACTGTGGTACAGGGTATTATGTCTTTGTGCATTTGTTTGTAACATGCAGAAGGAAACGAAATAGACCCGTAGTTCTCTTTGACGATCTTCATAGAATCACATTCTGAGTTGGTTTGCAAACAAAGTACTGGTCGCTATTATTTTCTGATTAATATTAAATTTCCCACAAATCATTAGTTTGACCCAAGAACGAACCCTATTGAAATTAGGGATCAGATTTGAATATTGGAAGATAAGTTTCTCTGGCAATTTTTGTGAATATCGGTCCGATTTAGATATATATCCCATAATTTTTTTGGGCCGATTTTTATTTTATTGTGTTCCATATGTTTAATATTCGTCCAATTCGAACGAACCCAGTCCAGATGCTAGTACTTTAATGTTTGGGAAAATGGGTTTAGGTATAGCTGTAGCTCCCATGTATATGTTTCATACGATTCCGTGATTTAGTTCCTCATATTCCCAATATGCACTACGAAACAATGATATTTGGTACCATATGTAAGATACAGCTCAGAAATATCTCTGCTAATTCGCCAAAATAATAAATGTCGGAAATAGCATCAAATTTTAGAACAAGTTTAGATTTGTTGAACTGGTCACCTTTGGCACAAATTATTCAAACTACCAATCAAAACGTCACACGCTGCTCGAATGTTGCTATATGGTATTTTGGCCCATTATCGGCGAAGCGCTTGCTTGAGGTGATCGACACTTTGGTATTTTTTAGTGCCAACCTTGATTTCCAAAATACTCCAGACATAATAGTCCAACGGATTGGTATCCGGAGATTTTGATGGCCATTGTGCGCTGGAAATGAATCGAGGAACCTCATTTTGTAACCATTCAGGGGTGGCGCGTGCTGAGTGCGATGGTGCTGAGCTCTGTTGGAATGTCTAAGGTCTGCGGTGGCATGGCCAGCGCTGGTGGCCAACCGAAGGTGCACATTTTCAGCTGACCTCATTGGCAAGTAAACACGATCATTTTGTTTGTTCAAAAACTGCTGGACAACGAATGTTTTCTTATCGGAGTAAAAAACAAAATTCGACAATTCACCATTTTTGGCCAAGCGAAGCAACTCTGCAGCTCTTTTGAGTCTATTTTCTTTCTGTTGCGGTGTAAGTTCTTGCACTTTTTGGAATTTTAATAGCATTACCCCGAGCTCGTTTTTCAATATTTGCCGAATGGCTCAGCTCACGAGCCATTTTTCGGCCACTGCGACGCGTGTGTGGATCAAGTCGCGTCTTTACTTTTCGAACCATTTCTCCTGATGTTGCTGTTTTCTTCCGTCCACTACCTTCACATTGGGTTACGCACCAGAATCACGATAACGAGCGATGGTACGAGATACAAAGGATTTATTCGCATTTAAATGCTGGAGTGCTGTAACGATAGCCACTTGTGGTTTTCCAGCCAAATATAAAGAATTCACACTATCACGCTTGAATTCCATCGCGAGTAACTTTTTTTTTGGAAAATTCTCACCAAAATGCTTTTGTACGCTTGTAAACAATATAACGGTCTGTCACTGGAATAATTGTAACAGTTGTCGGACGAGTGGCTTGGAAATGACAGCAGTCTGAAGTTGGTTGCAGTTTTTTCATCCAAACCTGTATGGGAACCGAGTTTCACAAAACGGACAAGTTCGTAGAATGTGCACAAATCCATCAAATTTAGGCTGATATTAGATATTTGGTGCATAATAACCGTGAAATCTGAACCGGTCTAAATGAAATTTGGCAGAGGTATTGATATCTGGTACCAAATATCGTTATTGTGGAGTGAAATTAATTCCGAGTTATGATCTATTTTATTCGCAAAGTATTATCCGATAACCATTCAAGCTGGTAGATTTCAGTCCTGTTTTGTAGCACTTAATTATCAAATTTTGTATTGCTACCTGTAAAGTTATAAAAATGTTACATGTGCTGTCGGGGGCCCCACATAGACCCACAAAACTAGATAGACTCAGCTAGCCGAAATATGATGACTTGTATACCACATTGTGGGTATAGAAGCAATGTTTCGGCTGTTACAAATTTTTGGTCCAACCATAGGAAGATTTTGCCGACACAAGACATTGAACTTGACTTAAAAAAAATAATAATAATGAAAATAATAATAATAATAATAATAATAATAATAATATAATAATAATAATAATAATAATAATAATAATAATAATAATAATAATAATAATAATAATAATAATAATAATAATAATAATAATAATAATAATAATAATAATAATAATAATATAATAATAATAATAATAATAATATATAATAATAATAATAATAATAATAATAATTATAATAATAATAATAATAATAATAATAATATAATAATAATAATAATAATAATAATAATATAATAATAATAATAATAATAATAATAATAATAATAATAATAATAATAATAATAATAATAATAATAATAATAATAATAATAATAATAATAATAATATAATAATAATAATAATAATAATAATAATAATAATAATAATAATAATAATAATAATATAATAATAATATATAATAATAATAATAATAATATTAATAATAATAATAATAATAATAATAATAATAATAATAATAATAATAATAATAATAATAATAATAATAATAATAATAATAATAATAATAATAATAATAATAATAATAATAATAATAATAATAATAATAATAATAATAATAAATAAACAAATAAAATAAATAAAAAATAAAAAGAATTATCGTATCAACAAATAATAAATTTGCTAGGTACCTTTTGGCACCAATAACTACTAGAAAGTAAGTACTGAAATTATTAGGAAACATAATTAGGAAACTTTCTTTCAACCTCGGAATTTGGATTATTCATTTGTATTGCAAGACTCACATAACAGATATAATATAAAATCCAATCTAATACTCGACATCCAAATGAAATATTGAACCTCAGCATAATCCAAGAATGATTTTAAAAAAATTAAGAAAATGTATCAAATGATTGATTGCAAAAAAAATCTACAGAGCCTTAACTCCCTTATCTAAAGATACCACCCATTTAAGAAGTTACTACATTTTTATTACAAATTTTATTTGAAGAATCTAAAAAAAATCAAATATAATTTCGACCTTCAAAAAAATGTTTACAAAGTTATAAATAATTAATATAACGTTGAAGGCCTTAAATCTTTATATTTTAATAAAAACCCCAAATAATCCCTGACTTAATAAATCCAAAAAATTAACTGTAACTGTATTTTATTACATTTTTTAATTTTTAATAGTCAAATTGGTATTGTGGACAGCTGTCATGTTTATTTCTCACAAATTACTTACTCTTCATCCTCTTCGTCATCGTTGTTGGCATTCTTATTATCCAAGCCGGCGTTACTTTCATAGAAGACATCATCCTCCTTGGATTCAATATCATCGTTGTTGTCATTCTTTAACAGGTTTTTGTTATTGCCATTTGTATTCTTGAGACTTGTGCTTGCCAGCTTGACATTGCCACCGCCCATCAGATTGAGATTGGAATTGAGGCTGTTGTAATTCTTTTCCTCATTTCCTGATAGGATGTCAACGTTATTATCGTCACCATTGCTAATGTCCATATCGTCTTCATCATCTTCGTTGTCATCGTCATCATCGGTCTCGTGATTATTGTTATTTATAAGATTGTTGTTGCTGTTGCCGTTATCATTGATACGGGCATTATCATTGTGATTAGCCGCTGCTATGGCTGCGGCTCTACGTTTCGCCTGTTCTTCCAAATATTTTGATTTCGTGATAATTTCATCACTGCAAAGACAATTGGAGAAAGGTGCGGGCAAGATAATTAATTAATTGTTATGGTTGTGAAGAGTAGTGAAATAAAAATAAATAATTTAAATAATTGTTTGTTGTTTCTTTCACTACTGCAATTACATTAAACGCTAATTGCCTTAATGAAAATTAAAATCCAATTGAAATAATTGTTATTATGGTTTTAATAGTGTATTTCCTGTAATGCTATTTTTGGCGGGGGATTGTGAGTTGGTTTTATATCACATTGTGATGAGGGTAGGTAATCGTTTTTGGGTCCCCGTGGATGTAAAACCTTATTGCCAAAAATATTTGTATACCCTCCACCCATGGTACAATAAAAAGGTAAGGTAGGACTACCAGCTGATAACAATTTTTTTTCTAAGTGTGCTCGACTTCTGCCAATTTTGTGTATGTATTTATTGTTTTGAAAAATGAAAATAAAATATTTTCAAAACCAATCATTGGAAGAAACGTACATTACCGCTTGCGCATAAAATTTATTAACCAATTTAGACATGAAATTGAAAGATTTAACAGTTTGGATCACATTTTTGAGAGAAAATCCAGGCCTTTCATTCATTTGTCGCCCTATTTAACTCATTTTAAAAAGGAGGAAAAATATGAAAAAAAAAAAAAAAAATGAAAACAACTTGTTGTAAATAATTTTAAGTAAGTCTGGCAGGAAGCGGACATAGCCTCAGGGCTGTATTTTTTAAGTTTTACGAAGCTGTTCTACCTCCTTATTGTACCATGCCCTCCACCATAGTATGGAGGGTATATTAAGATTGTCATTCCATTTGTAACACCTCAAAATATACATTTTGGACCCCCCAAAATATATATATTCTTCATCAGCATAAAATTCTATGTCGATTTAGCGATATCCGTCCGTCTGTCCGTGTATCCGTCCGTGGAAATCACTCTAGCTTCCGAACGAATTGAAGTAGATTGAAAAAAAATTTTACTCAGATGTATATTATATTTGCAGGACTTTTGGTATTGAAAATGGGCCATGTAGGCCCACGTCTTGGTATAGCCCCATATAACGGTACCTCCCAATATTCGGTATTTTGATGATTTTAGCGACATAATTCACAGCAATTGTTTCAAATTTGGTATTTGAAGTTCGTAATGTATACTGTGTATGTCCACGTTTTCGTATAGCCCCCATATAAAGGAACCTCCCGATATTCGGTATATTGATGATTTTAGCGACATTATTCACCGATGTTTTTTTAAATTTCGCATTTGAATATTGTAATGGATTTTGATATGGACCTATGCAGGTACATGTCTTTGTATATGCCCCAATATTACAGTTACATTCGGAATTTTCAAGATTTTAACAGAGTTTTTAACGGATTTTATTGCTTTTGAAAATTGCCAAATTCGTTCCAAATGGAAATTAAAAAGTAAGCAAAGACTACAGTCGAGCGGGGCCGACCGTTGAATACCCTACAACACTATAATAAACGATATTGTTTATATAGGCGAGATACTCGAAAGAATTCCAGAAGATATTGTGACAAATTATAAAAGAAAACCATCAGGTTTTGTTCTCTAAATTTCGAATAATAGCAACTTAAGCTAATTTGCTCATTTCCAATTTATTGGTAGATGTTTCACGTAAATGGTCTTCCTAGATCTGGAACCAATATTTCCCAAAGACCTATAATCTCTCAGAAGTGGCAAAAGATTAACATTTATTATTGGTTTTTGACTGAATTGCATCTATATATTCTTCAACGAAATCAGCTTAACGAAATAGTCAGAAGTGCGTCTTTCCTGTATTTGTGAATTCTCCAAAAAGTCACTGGAATGGACATTTTCGTATTTTGTCTACAAAAGTTGGCAAGCTATTTCACATACTGAATATTTTTGAATGGCCATCCAAAACTGCTTGGCTTTTGCAATGTCCAGTAACCCCAATTCAAATGTGCGTGGGGATCGGGCGATAATTACGACCTGCTGACTATTTTACAGTTTTTTGGTCCATTTCAACCCCTAGATATATTGCGATCATCTCCAAAAAGAAAAGGCTCCTATTCTGACCCTCATCTTATACCCATGCAAAATTTCGTAAGGATCGGGCCATAAATGCGATCTGTATATGATATCCTGATATCCTAACTACTTAGTTTTGTTAGCTGTAGAAATATTACCAAATGTTTAATTCAAAATGAAAATATGCCAAAAATATGACAAAATTAAAAAAATATGAGAAAATTTTACAAAATCAATATTTTCATCTTGCAGAGACATTTTTATGCGATTTTTTAGACGTTTTATTCTGAATTAATGAGAACTGTCAGCCGTTCTCGACATATAAGAGATCTTTCAAGCATATCTTCTTTGATAGACATATATATCGCACATATTTTGCTATATATCCGATTTGTTGGATGTTAACATCAATATAAAGGTCAGAAGTAACCTTGTCACGGCTTCGTGATTTCGCCGGGGTTTAAAATATACGCGGTTTAATGAAAAATATTGAATTTTTTCAACACAAAAGATATGGTCTATTTTACCCGCTAAATATTATCCGATGACCACCCTAATTGGTAGGCTTCTTCCCCGTCCTAAACTCAAGCTACATACGAAATTCCGCGTCGATTGGTCTATAATTGCGACCTGTATAGCTACTGCAAAATCCGATATTTTTCCAGTATTTGGTCCATTTCAACCCCTAAACATTTGGCGATCATCTCCAAAAGAAATAGGCTTCTATTCTGACCCTAACCCCACCTCCATTTTAAATTTCGTGAAGATCGGACCATAATTGCGACCTGTAGAGTGATTACAAATTAACATGGACAGACGGACGGACGGACATACATAGCTAGATTGACTCAGCTCGGCGAGCTAGGAAGATCCATATATACTTTCCTATATGGGAAACCAATATTTCGAGGTGTTACATAAATTCTGGCCCAATCAAACTTAAGGGCTAAGTACATAAGAAGCTTGGAGTCATGGCTAGGCATGTTTTGTGACATTTCATAAAGGGATTACAGAGCCGTACTAAAATCCTGCCGTCGTTTTCCATTATAATTTGACATTAATATGCCTAGCGATGACTTCAAGCTCTTTATGTATTTGCAGCTTTATAATACCCCCAACACATAGTGTTGTAGGGTATAAAAATTGGGTTATCGTTTTAATACAAAATTCATAAATATATTCTATATATATTGACTAAATTTTCCGCCAATTATTTTTAGGTTTATCCTTAAAAATTATCTTCCAATAATTCATCATTAATCAGAGAAATAGTCTTATATTTTTCACAAAAAAAAAAAAAAACAGTTTTTAATTTACAAATATTGATACGAAGGTTCAACATCAAAAGCGGTGTATGTAACATTTACCCTTTTGACACTTACCGATTTTTGTGCAATTCCTTTTTGGACACACAAACTGCACTATATTCATTTTCCAGCAGGCATATTTCACGTTTCTTGCAGCTCAACGGGCGGCAAAGATCGCCTAAAAAAAGAAAAAGAGAAAAAAAGTTGCAGTATAGGGGAAAAGAATCTAATTAAAATTTAATATTTGTCAGTTTTTGCTTTGCTCTGACATACATACACATGTACACAAAACCTTATGACGGTGTTGTGGTAAATTGTTTTGCTCCCAGCAGCTCCAACATGAGAACAATAAAAGTTTTGCTAATAAAATAAAATTTAATAAAAAGGAAAAATTAAATTGCTTAGAAAAGTAAAGTAGGTCATATTTAGCGAGCAATTGTGTCTCCCACTCTGTCTGTCCGTTGCAGTGCCATCAGTGATAGTTATAACAACAATAATGGGGCTGCATGTCTAGCAAATGTCGGGTTCTATGTACAGACATCATAAAGAGAAAAACTACAGCTGTTGCTTTTTGATTCAATTTTTAACTGTGGGGCAGCATACACTTAAGAGTATTACTCTAGTATTATGCTATTTATTTTTGTGTGTACTCTCGTTTTTGTTTAGAAAATCACCATGTTCTCCAGTCCAGTGGGTTTTGTATGTCTGTAAATGGTAAAAAAACCCATTATCCAGCAATATTCCTAGGCATTTGCAGTTTGCCATCATTTGTTGCAAAGAATAGAAGAACAAATTTCCAAACCAAGGCATCAGCCGACATATGTGACAGTTTAGTTCTCCCATTATGGCCCTGATGTCTCACAAGAACGTTTTAAAGTTGAAATTATGTTTTTTCACTCTTCAGTTTTTCCACGACATACGTGGCTCGAGTTTCCTAACCGTAAGGTAGCCACATTGTGCTACGCTCCAATAGCCCACTTTAAAATACATATATATGAGAGCTAGTATTTATTTTGCCTCAAAATATTCTCTTTCTGAACGAGACATTTTGTTGGGTATATTTAAAAAAGGGGGTGAGGAATATTAGAGACCGCTATGAAGAGTGTCCAAGTTATCGTAACCAATGTTTATTTTACAACACGACAACAAAAAATAATAAATCTACTATTGAATGTAAATAGTTTTAATATTCAATGTTTAGTTTTGATATAAGTTATAAATTAAAACTTTTAATCTAACCAATTTTTCCGTATGAAAGGCCTATACTTGCTTATAAACTTCAGCTTGTTGGTATTTATACCCTACAACACTATGTGTTGGGGGTATTATATTGATTGGGCCAAAAATTATGTAACACCTCGAAATATTGATTTCCCACATAGGAAAGTATATATGGATCTTCCTATCTCGCCGAGATGAGTCGATCTAGCTATGTATGTCCGTCCGTCCGTCTGTCCATGTTAATTTGTAATCACGCTACAGGTCGCAATTATGGCCCGATCCTTACGAAATTTTGCACGAAGGTGGGGTTAGGGTCAGAATAGAAGCCAATTTCTTTTGGAGATGATAGCCAAATGTTTAGGGGTTGAAATGGACCAAATACTGAAAAACTGTCGGATTTTGCAGTAGCTATACAGGTCGCAATTATAGACCAATCGAATTTCGCATGTAGCTAGAATTTAGGGCGGGGAAGAAGCCTACCAATTTGGGTGGTCATAGGATAATATTTAGTGGGTAAAATAGACCATATCTTTTGTGTCGAAAAAATTCAAAATTTTTCATCAAACCGTGAATATTTTAAATCCCGGCGAAATCACGAAGCCATGACAAGGTTACTTCAGACCTTTACATTGATGTTAACATGCAACAAATCGGATATATAGCAAAATATGTGCGATATCTATCAAAGAAGATATGCTTGAAAGATCTCTTATATGTCGAGAACGGCTGAACTGATTTCGACAGTTCTCATTAATTCAGAATGGCCTCTTGGCAGGAAAGAAAAAATGTCTAAAAAATCGCATAAAAATATCTCTCTAAAGATGAAAATATTGGTTTTGTAACATTTTCTCATATTTTTTCAATTTTGTCATATTTTTGGGTTATTTTCAATAAACATTTGGTAATATTTCTACAGCTAACAAAATGAAGTAATTAGAATATCAGGATATCATATACAGATCGCATTTATGGCCCGATCCTAACGAAATTTTGCATGGGGATCAGATGAGAGTCAGTATAGAAGCCTACTCTTTTTGGAGATAACCGCCATATATTTAGGGGTTGAAATGGACCAAAAAAACTGCAAAATCAGCAGGTCGTAATTATTGCCAGATCCTCACGCACATTTGAATGGGGGTTACGGGCATTGCTAAAAGCCAAGCAGTTTCCAAAAATATTCAATGTGTGAAATAGTTTGCCAACTTTTGTAGACAAAATACGAAAATGTCCATTCCAGTGACTTTTTGGAGAATTCACAAATGCAGGAAAGACAGACTTCTGACTATGTCGTTAACGCTGATTTCGTTGAAGAATATAGTCAAATGTCTGTATCTCATATAGATGCGTTTCAGTCAGAAACCAATAATAAATGTTAATCTTTTGCCACTTGTGAGAGATTATAGGTGTTTGAGAAATATTGGTTCCAGATCTAGGAAGACCATTTACGTGCAACATCTTCCAATAAATTGGAAATGAGCAAATTAGTTAAAGTTGCTATTATTCGAAAATTAGAGAACGAAACCTGATGGTTTTCTTTTATTATTTTCACAATATCTTGTGGAATTCTTCCGAGTATCTCGCCTATATGAACTGTATCGTTTATTATAGTGTTGTAGGGTATTCAACGGTCGGCCCCGCTCGACTGTAGCCTTTGCTTACTTGTTTTTCAATAAAATTTGCTCAAAGTCACAATATTAAAGATGTCGTATCCCTAATATGATTATTGAAATTGCCCCAGGTGGGAAGTATTCAGACGCATTTCTTGGCTGAATCTGCTGTAACTTAGTATTTTTGGTTACCAATGAGTAAGCTAGTTCCATTCAGAATTTAGTCCATAAAAATTTATTTTTGTCCTATAGGTGTATGTTAACTTTCGAATCTTGGAATCGAAGTGATATCTTGATGTCTTAATTAAAAAAGGTATATGGTTTTTTTTATTATAGTACTGATCGATGTTATGCTTTTGAGCATGGCACCTTTATCAAAAATGATATGTCCCCTAAAACCTCGAAATATTTAATGGGTGTATAATTTAGAATGGAGTAAAATGAAAAAAAAAAAAAAAAAAAACTAGTAGATTCTTGCAGATTCTGGAACAGAGCAAAAATGTACAATTCAATATTGTACGTTAAATAGACAAAATCTCATGCGATAAAAATATATGTATAACAAATATTACGAAAAAAACATACTTTTTATGGCAACTTTTTATGCGTTTTTTGTGCTATTCAGAATTGTGAAATTTTTCGATTTGTCGTTCTCGAGTTATAAGCGGGCTTCCTAATATCTCCTTCCTACAGGGTGAGATAAAAAAAACTGCTACAAAGTCAAACGCCATCATTTTTAAAGTTTTTTTTTGTATGAAAGCGAAAAATGGACGGAAATAACATCAAATTTTAGAATAAGTTTAGATTTGTTCGAACTGGTCACCTTTGGCCAGAATTGTGACTGAGTCCTCTTGGAATTTCCAATATCTGCGGCCAAATTGTTTGGGTGCCCAAGGCACGATCGATTAATACGAGTAGAGAGCGACCATCGGCTTTTATGCCGGCCTACCCCATCACCGTGGCCAGCGCTTGAGTTCTGGTGGCCAACTGAAGGTGCACTTTTTCAGCTTACCCCTTTGACAAGTAAACACGATCATTTTGTTTGTTTACAAACTGCTGCACAACGAATGTTTTCTCATCGAAGAAAACCAAATTCGGAAGTTCACCACTTTCGGCCAAGCGAACGAACTCTTTAGCTCTTTGAGTCTATTTTCTTTCTGCGGCGGTGTAAGTTCTTGCACTTTTTGAAATTTCAGTGGCTTTAGCCCGAAGAAAACCAAATTCGGCAGTTCACCACTTTCGGCCAAGCGAAGCAACTCTTTAGCTCTTTTAGGTCTTTTTCCTTTCTGTTGCGGTGTAAGTTCTTGCACTTTTTGGAATTTCAATGGCTTTGCCCCGAGCTAATTGTTTAATATTTGCGGAATGGAATATTGCGATAAGTTCATTTTTCGGCCACTGCGACGCGGATTTCGATCTGGTCGCTTGTTTACTTTTCGAACCATTTCTGCTGATGTTGCAGTTTTCTTCCGTCCACTTCCTTGACGTCGGGCTACGGTACCAGTATCACGGTTACGAGCGATGGTACGAGACACAAAAGATTTATTCACATTTAAATGCTGGAGTGCTCTAACGATAGGCACTTGATGTTTTCCAGCCAAATATAAAGAAATCACATTATCACGCTTGAATTCTATCACGAATAACTTTTTTTCTGGAAAATTCTTACCAAAATGCTTTTGTACGTTTGTAAACAATATAATGAGCTGTCACTGGAATAGTTTTAACAGTTGTCGGACGAGAGACTTAGAAATAACAGCAGTCTGAAGCTGGTTGTAGTTTTTTGTTGTCACCCTGTTAGTCCAATATCGGAGTTACATGGAATCATTTAGAGAAATCTAAATTTTCAAATATTATTGTGAATGTTTATTAATGTCCATTGGTTTCGGTCAAAAGACAAAATTAAACTTTAGCAGGATTATGTAGGTTGCAGTTTTTTCATCTCGCCCTGTGTATCTATATATAAAATGTATGTATGTATGTATGTTTGTTTGTTTCTAATTTATGGACTCTAAAACCGCTGAACAGATTTTCCTGAAAATTTCGCCTAAAAGTAACATCTATATATATAAAAATCAATTGTTCTTTGTTGGTAACGGAATCAGTTGAAAACGGCTGGGCCGATTTGCATATTTTTTTGTACAATCGTTCGTCATACCCCGAGTTAGGTTTTTAAAGAAAAAAATATTGACCACGCCTCCTTTTACGCCCACTATTACGATTTATCTAAAATCTTTATATTTGCCAAAATAGTGAAGATATCGGTTTGAGAATTATTACACGAGATGCTGTTGGCTTTCCACCCTAAGTACTTATTTAGTGGCTGAGGAACGCGCCTACTTTTAAATCTGTCTCTCTATATGTAAAAGAAAGTTGTGTTAGTTACTACTCTTATAACATAAAGACCGCCGGTCTGATTTTAACGATTTAGACAAATTTGGAATTGCCTCTTGGCTGAAAAGAATAAAATCCAAAAAAAATCGCGTAAAAATGTGAAATTTGAACATTTTCATTTTGACTTTTAAAATGTACAATACTAATGTTTTATATTGCATATTTTTTTCCATTTTGACTTACTATTTTCGAATGTACATTTGTAGAGTCTTTTTTTTGGAATTCTAATATGATATGTAGGTTTTTTGGGTAGTATAAAGCCACTACGGATAAAACTGTTATTTATAGATTTATGTATTTATTCGTAATACCCAATAAATACATAAAATCTATAAATAACAATTTTATCCGTTGTCGCTTTATATGAAAATTCTAAAATCGGGAAAAATCTACAATTTTTCAATGGAATCGAATTTCAAAATAACGCAGTATTTTTTGCTTACCTGCACAATCAAAAATTGCACGACATCTTGTGCAGCAATGCCCAAAATGCAGGTAGCTTCATTGCATTTATCTGCACAATGAAGCAGGTATCTTTAATTTTACTTACGTGCACAAAAAGTGCAGTTATCTTTAATTTTCTATTCGTGCACAACAAAGCAGCAGCAGCATAACCATCTTTTAGTGTGGGAGAGGAAGCGATAATATGTTTTTAATGCATGCTCTTTTCTTGTGTTGTTATTGTTTTTGCGAATACAAAAACAAAAACGAAGTGGTAGTTTTTAATGTCTTTTTTGAGTTTTGAGTTTCCAAAAAATTTTCTTGTGCAGATAAATACAACTTTTGTAACCAAATTAAAAAAAATTACCAAATTTTCGAGGCAGGAATGTCCAATGTGCAGCTATCGATTGGGCACTTAAATACAATTCAAATAAAGGGATTCAGAAAAAATGGCATAAAAAAAGTTTTTTGGTCTGCAAAGGCCAATGCGCAATGTTGATGCAGGTAAATAGAAACCACTGTAGTACATTCTAGCGACAAACTTCGCAATCACCCTTAAAAATTTGCCGCAAAAAAAATTAACGAACCAGTTTTTTTTATTGGTTTGAATTCTGTATGAATAATATTAAAAATGAAATGAGGGCGCAATACGATGTTAAATGCTTTCTACTCCAGGACCTACATCGTGCTTCAGCTGGAAGATGCGAACACATTTAAACAAACAAAAATGACCGAAGAAGCGTTATGGGGTTAATTTAAAAAATTGGGCCTGCTTATTTCATACGCCAATAAATTGTCAAATTAGAACACAAAATGCAAAATACATTGGGACAGTCAAATACCGGCTATAAAGAACGCATTATATATGGATCATAACCCCTGATAACGGAACAACCCGATTTCAAGTATATTCTACATTTTAACCATATTTTTCGTACTAATTTTAGCTTATGTTGATAATTTAAGAAGAAACCATTATCACGTTTTGGTATAACCATCATATGATTTAAGGTATTTTCGGGGTCTTGGCCACTTTTTTTTCATTTTTTGGCCCTTATTTGACATTTTGTTCCTAAGGGGGAAGAAAACCTCTTCTTATAAAGTTCTGCTTTTCGGAAAAGTGCGCATCTTAGTCTTGAGGCTACCTGTGGTAAAAAACCCTTGGGTAGAAAATCATCTTACAGATAATTATCCTCATAGGAATTTATTTAAGTATAGTCTTCACATTAGTATACCCCCAAGTCCACTTTCCCAACCAATGTGTGGTCAGAAAACAAAATTTGGTATTTTATTGAATTTGTAACCCCCAAAGAGAATATTGGTTGTGAACGTAGATTTGGGATGTACGTCTATATGGGACTCATTCAGTCGGAAATTGTGGTAGAAACATGAAAAAATACGAAATTATAAAGTAACTTTACTGGATCTCCACCGCACAATTTAAATGACAAATAATTAATGTCCATCTTACGGTAATCGGAGCAAAAGAGTAATTTTTTGGCTATTCTGACAACATTCTGCCTTCAAGTATGAGGTGGACAAAACTGAATACCACGCAGTACGGGATTTTAAACGTTGGAAATACAAATTTCAAATTATAGCTCATTTGAATGCTTTTTACAATATCAAAAATTAAGCTGAATTTTCACACGGTGCTATTATAGACGTTCTTTATCATATAGGTCTTTAACACTCAAATTAAAGCGTATAGCTGAAAAATAAGATCAGGCTATTCAAAATATCTAAAACCGACGGTAATTATAATTTTTTCTATGAATATTAATTTATATTTAGTCATGGAGTCATTACTCAAGTCGTTACTTATAATCAAAATTGTGCCGCCTACATAAGTCCGATCTGTGATTTATTATGCTTTAAAGACTAAAAGTACGGGCCGGCAACGCGGACCGGGCCAGCTAGTAGTCTATATAAATTTTTGAAATTCCACTTGGTAATGGAGATATAGCTGATCGGAGGTACCTCCAAAAAATTTAGATTTTATATATTGATCGATCGAAATTTGGAATATGTAACTTATAAATGTAAATATAACTTATCAATGTAAATTATATTAAATTCAGTTCGATTTGGATATATCTCCCATATATATTTTCGTCCGATTTCGTATATTTGATGCATAAAACGCGCGGTGTTCGCAAAATTTTAATGAAATTTGGAATGTGTGATGGAATTTATCTAAAAAAAGTTTTCCATATAATATTGAAATTGGTTCAGATTTGTATACAGTTGCCATATATATTTCCGACTGTTTTCATGTATTTGATGCACCGAATACACTATATTTTTCCAATTTCAATGAAATCTGGAAATAAATTTGTAAAATTATATTGAAATTTGTACAAATTTGGATATAGTTATTACATAAGTTGTTCGCCTGAAATCGCGTATTTGATACACCAAACATGTATGTCAAATTTTAATGAAGTTTTAATTTATATATTTATATATATAGAATTTAATTTATATATATAGAATGCCTCCAATAGCCACAACAATTTTGAATGCATATAAAATCAAAAGGGGTAGCGAACGCACCGGGTTCAGCTAGTTTAGTATAAAATGAAAACTTTTTATACCCTTCACCATACATAGTATGGAGCGTATATTAAGTTCGTCATTCTATTTGTAACTCATCGAAATAATCATTTTAGACCCAAAAAAGTATATATATTCTTGATCAGCGTAAAATTCTAAAACGATTTAGCCCAGTCCGTCCGTCCGTCTGTTGTAATCACGCTACAGTCTAAACGAATTAAGATAGGAATCTAAAATTTTGCACAGATCCCTCTTTTGTCTGCAGGCAGGTCAAGTTCGAAGATGGGCTATATCGGTCCACGATATCGTATAGCTCCCATATAACGATACCCCCCGATATGCGGTATTTTGATGATTTTAGCCACATTTTCTAATGGAATGATCTGAAAATCCACACAAGAAGTTCCTTGTGGGTACTTTATCCCTTGAAAGAGAATTATATATATAGGACCACGATATCGTATAGTCACCATATAACGGTACCCTCTGATATTCGGTATTTTGATGACTTTAGCCACATTTATCAACGGAATTGAGTGATCGTCCACACAAGGAGTTCCTTGTAGGTACTTTATGCCTTGGAAGAGAATTATCTATATAGGTCCACGATATCGCATAGCCCCCATATAACGGTTACCCCTGATATTCGGTATTTTGATGATTTTAGCCACATTTTGTAATGGAATGATCTGAAAATCCACACAAATAGTTCCTTGTGGGTAAATTATCCCTTGGAAGAGAATTATCTATATAGGTCCATGATATTGTATAGCCCCTATATAACGGTACCCCCCGTTATTCGGTATTTTGATGATTTCAACAACATTTTTCAACGGAATTGTCTGAAAATCCACACAAGGAGTAACTTGTGGGTACTTTATACCTCGGAAGAGAATTATCTACATAGGTCCACGATATCGTTTAGCCTCCATAAAACGGTACCCACGATATTCGGTATATTGATGATTTCAGCCACATTTTTCAATGAAATTGACTGAAATTCCACACGAGGAGTTCATTGTGAGTACTTTATCCTTTGGAAGATAATTATCTATATAGGTCTACGATATCGTTAGCCCCCTATATAACGGTATCCCCGATATTCGGTATTTTGATGATTTTAGTTACATTTTTCAACAGAATTATCTGAAATTGAACACAAGAGGTTCTTTGTGAGCAGTTTACCCCCTGACATATATAGGTTAACGATATCGTATATCCCCCATATAACGGTACCCCCGACATTCGGTATTTTGATGATGTTAGCCACATTTTTCAATGGAATTGTCTGAAAATCCACACAAGTAGTTCCTTATAGATACTTTATGCCTTGGAAGAGAATTATCTATATAGGTCCACAATATCGTATATCCCCCCATATATCGGCACCTTCCGATATTAGATATTTTAAAGATTTTAAGAGAATTTTTAATGGATTTTATTTTTTGAAAATTATCTAGTTCATTCCAAATGGTGGAGGGTATTCAAAGTTCGGCCCGGCCGAACTTACTGCTTTTTTTACTTATTTAAATTTTTTCGTGTTTTTTATTTTTTTTTCCAATTTTTCTATTTTCAACAATGTTTAGCAAACAGTTGTATTTCCACTTTTTACAATATTTTGATAGTCCTTATTTCATGAAAGAGTTAAGTAAATATTATCCTGACAATCGACAATTATAAAACGAACCTTAATAGTCTAATTATGTATCCCATTATATTGAGGAATTCATTCATTCTAGATAAAATGTTTTTAGACTTTACAGCAAATTATAGTGGTGTAGGATATGGCATGTTCAGTCACGCCCGTCTATAGACTTGCATACTTATATTTTTATGTGTTAAATTTGTAGTACTCACTTGTTGGATCGTGTATCCATCGTTTGCGTTCACCATTCATGCTTGAACCGATGATGCCGATGCCTGAGCCAGATACGGAATTCTTTGATGTCATTTGGGCATTTTTATTAACCTGAAATTAAATTAAAAAGTAAACAATTGTTATTTTTTTGTTTTATTGTAATTCAATTGCAAATTATTTAGGTAATTATTTTGCAATTAATTTTAATTGTTGTTTATTTTATGTGGTGGGACAGTACAGAGATGCATACATATATTTGTGCTTTTTGCTGGACCCATTAACCTCTTCGGTGTATGAAAAAAAAACAGAGTACAACATTTTACAATGAACAATCAATAGCTGTGAAAGTTCAATCACAACTAACGCATCGTCTGAGTGGTCTAAAGGACCCTTGTGTATGTTTGTATGTGAGTGTCTCTCTGTGTGTGCTTTTCATTTAATTTGCCACACTCTGTTAACGCTTTTCAGCATAGTCTTTTGGCCGCATTTTGTTGTCAAAATTAATTGCTCTTTTTGCATTGCATGTTGCTTGACCATTGTTGTTCAATGTGGCCTTGTTATTTTATGATTTCTTTATTACTCAATGCAGTCGGCTTGCAGCCGTTTTAATCGTATTGCGTATTCAGACTGAATGACAGCGGACATAATAATGATTGCGGATTGACTTACACACACATACGTTCGAATATCTGTTGTCATCGTTTATTTTTAATATGTATATAATTCATACATAATTGATTAAATTTGCATAATTTCTTTTTCTCTTAACCCCTATCTGGGGAATTGGCGTTATGGCAGAGGTCACACCCGTTGCATTCAGTGGAAATTGAATAAATTATGTGAAAGTTTATTTTTAATTGGATTTCAAACAAATTTTAATGAAATATTTAAGCCGCGCACTCAAAGGGATTGATGCAGTTAATATGTTTTCGGGGGCGTATGAGTTATGCAAGCTGCAGGTGTGTATACGATATACTAAATGCGTTTATTTGCGTTTTATTAGACAAGCATTTTGTAATATCGACCGCAAGTTTCACTGCATGTTCGAATTGGTCTTAAACCAATATGAAAAGAGTTATATTATTATAATGTCCGTCTGTCCATGTTAATTTGTAATCACTTTACAGGTTGCAATTATGGCCCGATCTTCACGAAATTTAGTATGGAGGTGGGGCTAGGGTCAGAATAGTACCCTATTTCTTTTGCAGATGATCGCATTATATATAGGGGTTGAAATGGACTAAAAACTGAAAAAATCCTGATTTTGCTGTTGCTCTACAGGTCGCAATTATAGACCAATCGACGCGGAAGTTAGGATGGGGCTAGAGCTTAGGGCTGGCTTCCAATTTTGATGGTCATCGGGTAATATTTGGTGGGTGAAATAGACCACAACCTTTGTGTTAAATAAAAGTCAAATTTTCCATTAAATCGCGAATATTTTTAACCCCGGCGAAATCACAAATAGACGAACGGGTCAATTCTGACCGTTACGTAGATGCCGATATTAAATATATCGGTTATATATAGCGATATATATACAGTGTATATATATAAGGAAGGGGATGTTAGCTAGAATGCTTATATCTCAAGAATGGCTGAACCGATTTTGACAAATTTTATCAATTCAGAATGTCAAGAGGGCATAAAAGTATAAAATATGAAAAAATCGCAGAAAAATATGCCAATAATGATGTTAATATAGATTTTGTAGTATTTTGTGACATATTTTTCATTCTTTCATATTTTTTATCGCAAGCGATTTTTTCAATTTGATTTATAATATTTCGTAATTTTTTTCAATCTTAAAACACAGGTTGGGGAAATTATATAAGTATTGCAAATATCGTCCGATTCTGACGAAAGTTTTGACCAGGGTGGGGTTAGGCTCAGAAGGGCTAGGCCTATTCTTTTCAAAGATGTCCGTAATATATTAGGGGTTGAAATGGACCAACAACTAAAAATTTTCCAGATTTTGAAGCCGTTATAATAGTCACAAATAGAAACCAAAAGACACGAAATCTCATATGGACCACTAATTTTGTATGAAAAAAATACCAGCATTACTTACAGGCGATATCCGAAATACACAAAAGCCGAACTTCTGGCTTTTTATACCCTACAACACTATGTGTTGGGGGTATTATAAGTTTGTTTGGGCCAAAAATTATGTAACACCTCGAAATATCGGTTTCCCACATAGGAAAGTATATATGGGTCTTCCTAGCTCGCCGAGCTGAGTCGATCTAGCTATGTATGTCCGTCCGTCCGTCTGTCCATGTTAATTTGTTATCAAGCTACAGGATGCAAATATGAACCGATCCTCATGAAATTGCAAATGAGGTGGAGTTAGGGTCAGAATAGAACCCTATTGTTTTTGGAGATGATCGCATAATATTTAGGGGTTGAAATGGACCAAAAACTTAAAATTTTCTTGATTTTGCAGTTGATCTATAGGTCACAATTATGAACCAAGTTTGGGACTGGGCAAAAACCTACCAATTTGAGCAGCCATTGGACAATAATTAGCTGGTAAAATAGACCCCAACTTTTATATTAGAAAATAGGAAAATTTCCACTAAACCGCGAAAATTTTTAATCCCAGCCAAATCACAAATACATTAAAAGATCACTTCTGACCATTACAGTGATGCTAAAAGCCAAGAAATCGGATATATAGAAAAATAGGTACAATACATATGTAAAAGAATTGATCTTATTTATTCTGCTTATAAATCAAGAACTGCTGGGCCGATTTGCACAATTCACATCAATTCGGAATGGTCTCTTGCCAGAAAAGGATAAAATCTAAGAAAATCGCGGCATAATATACGAATAAAAAAGTTATATCATTTGTTTCATTTTTTTCCATTTTTGTCATATTTTTTATCGCATGCGATTTTTTCAATTTGACTTACAATTTTGTATTTTAAATTATCTAAATTTTTACACCCACCAACACTACGTTTTGAGGGTATTATATGTATGTCGCAATTATCGTCCGATCCTCACGAAATTTTGCATGGGGTGGTTCGGAATTGAAGCCTATTATTCTTAAGATGTGCATTTAGATTTTTAAATGGCTAAAAAATTTTTAATTTTTCCTAATTTTGTAGTCGTAGGCCACAATTGAAAACTAATCGACACGGAATTTCGCATCGGAAGAGAGTTGAGGACAGAGAAGAAGTCTAGCATTTTGGATGACCATTGGATTATATTTAGCTGTAAAATGAACCACGACTTTCGTGTGCAATTGTTTTGAATACTTCACAATACTACGGAGTGCGTAAATATTGGCCAAATTCTTCGGGTCAAAAACCTAAGGGTAACCCCTGGGCAGGGCTCTTTGGCATTATTTCAAAAACGAAATCTTCCAAAATGGATTTGCATATAAAGGGACTTCCAACATATTGTAGTGTTGTAGGGTATCACATGGTCGGCCCCGCGCTACTATAGCCTTTGCTTATTTGTATCAATTTTTTTTGCCACAACTTCCTACTGAATGAGTCTCAGTTTGGCATTTATTTATTTCATATATACTTACACCCAAATCTACGTTCCAAACCAATATTCTCTTGGGGATTAAAAGTAGAATACACTAATGTAGGGACTATACTTAAATAAATGCCTACAGGGTGAGATGAAAAACTGCAGCCACTAGTCCGACAGCTGTTATTCCAGTGACAGTTCATTATATTGTTTATAAGCGTTCAAAAGCATTTTGGTGAGAATTTTCCAGAAAAAAGTTATTCGTGATGGAGTCCAAGCGTGTTAGTGTGATTTCTTTATATTTGACTGGAAAATTACAAGTGGCTATCGTTAGAGCACTCCAGCATTTAAATGTGAATAAATCTTTTATGTCTCGTACCATCGCTCGATACCGAGATATTGGTAGCGTAGCCCGACGTCAAGGAAGTGGGCGGAAGAAAACAGCAAAATCAGCAGAAATGGTTCAAAAAGTAAAGAAGCGACTTGATCGAAACCAACGTCACAGTGGTCGAAAAATTGCTCGTGATCTGAACAATGCGCAATATTCCATTCGGCAAATATTGAAAAATAAGCTCGGGTTAAAGCCATTGAAATTCCAAAAAGTACAAGAACTTACACCGCAACAGAAAGGAAATAGATTCAAATGAGCTAAAGAGTTGCTTCGCTTGACCGAAAGTGAGGAATTGCCGAATTTGGTTTTCTCCGATGAGAAAACATTCGTTGTCCAGCAGTTTGTAAACGAACAAAATGATCGCGTTTACCTGCCAAAGAGGTTAGCTGAAAACGTGCACCTTCTGTTGGCCACCGGAACTCAAGCGCTGGCCATGGTGATGGTGTGGGCCGCCGTAACAGCCGTTGGTCGCTCTTCGCTCCTATTAATCGACCGTGGCATCAGAATAAATGTCGAATACTATAGCGAAAATATTCTGAAGGGTGTATTAAAGCCTTGGGCACGCAAACATTTTGACCGCAGACCTTGGACATTTCAACAGAACTCAACACCATCGCACTCATCACGCGCCACCCAATAATGGTTACAGAATGAGGTTCTCGCTTCATTTCCAGCGCACAATGGCCACCAAAATCTCCGGATACCAATCCGTTGGACTATTGTGGCTGGAGTACTTTGGAAAGGTAGCTTGGCATTAAAAAATACCAAAGTGTCGATCACCTCAACCAAGCGCTTTGCCGGGAACTCGCCAAAATAACGCAGGGCTATATTCGGGCAGCGTGTGACGGATTCATTGGCAGTTTGAAGGTCACAATTCGAAAAAGGTGACCAATTCGAACAAATTTAAACTTATTCTAAAATTTGATGCTACTTCCGACATTTTTTGCTTTCATTCGATAACATTTAAAAAAAATGTAAAAATTATTTAAAAAATTTAATAAAAATATGTAAAAAATCTGTTGCGGTTTTTTATCTCACCCTGCATATAGATGTTATAAACGGAATGACACACTTGATATATATCATATATGCATATATCAATATGCATATTTCCGCTTGCGATTGTGTGTATTGATATACAAATTCCTTATAAAAATCTTAAACAATGCCACAATAAATTTTTAAATGACTGCAACCCACATCATAGCCACAAACGCGAGTGTAAAAATCGATA